GTAGTAGTAGTAGTAGTAGCAGCACGCATAGTAGTGATAGTGGTATTATCTGCAGTATGTATGCATGATTAGTTGAGAAACTCTGACAGCCAGGAGCGGCTGAACTTACCACGTGATCAGGCGGTTCAGGCCGGCGGGTTTGTGGCTTTGAAGGGGGCGGCTAACATACTCCAGTGTCGGCTTGTTTTGGAGTTGCAGTCTGGAGTGTGCAAGTTTCTGTCGTGCACAAGTATGCTCTTTGTTCTTGTGAGAGGCCGGCTGCACGATGCTGGGCGGAGCCCTCAGCAACCGCCATTTTTTGGCCAAGACAGGAGCAAGCACTAGGTCGAGCAAGATCTCACATCGCAGCAGAGCTTGACATCGCAGCAGCAGGGCTTGACATCGCAGCAGGGCTGACATCGCAGCGGGGTCTGACAAGATGGACGGTGACTCTGACGACAGCCCGGTGTCGCTGGACATACCGGCAACTCCTTCAGCAGTCCCTGGAAGCTTCAGAGAATGTGCACCGACGCAGGCCAGTCCTCCGACGCAGTCCACGAAACTCACACACGTGCCTGTGCTCTTCCAGCCCTTTGCAGCCCGAGCTGCTCGAACCCTTCCGCCCGAGTGACAAGAAGTCGCAGAGCGGCCGCGAGAAATATCGCCATGAAACCTTCAACAAGATACTCCACACCTTGGGATGGACGAGCGAGCTCGCATTGGGACGCTTGGCATCCGGAAGGACCGGCCTGCGCAGGTTAATCGAGTTCCGTAGATGCCCCGCACAACATGATGCCGAGCATCCGATTCCATGCAAGGAAGACGTCAATACTGCAGTTTGTAGAGCCCTTCTCGGCCGAAGCCGCGACGCTCTTCCAGTACATGCGTGCTTGTAGAGCCCATCTCGGATGAATCCGCGATGGTCTCCCACCTCTAAGAGCGCGCCTCAGACGCGGCCGCGTGCACAGACCTGTGGTGCGTTTTGTCGGCAACAGCAAGCCGAGTCGGTCGTACAAGAAGCTTGCAATGAAGACTTCACCCGCAGACCTGCATACCCACCGTTTTGCATGGCTTAGTACATCTTTGCACCATTCGAAGGATCGAGGCTCTGGTGTTGCGCTGGTTCACAAAGCAGCAAGTGAAACTGCATGTAGGAATGTCAGGTTTGGTCACAAGCTTATTTAGGGCATGTTGAGTTTGAGCCCCTGCGTGTGCGTGTGTGTGTGCGCTTGATGCAGAGCCAACCAGGTGAGGCCGTTGTTTTCGGCGTGTCGGGCGTCGTCTTGATCTACGAGTACCATCGAACTCGGGAGACCGTGCCGGGTGCTGGTCTGGTCGGTCGCTTAAGCCGAGCTCCTCTCCTTGAATCCAATGGTATGTTTTTGGACTAGCATACCACTACTAGTACTGATACGAAATAATGGCAGAGACAGTGGTCGCCGAGTTTTGTGCCCTCCGGTGAAAACCGTTCCGAGAAGCAGAGGATTTAGGTTTGGTTTGACGGTTTCAAAGGGAGTTTACAACTGAAAGCCGCACCGGCAAGAGGGCTGGTTTTGAGGGTTCCGGGTGAATGGCATCTACGATGGATCCATGCAAAAGCGTCGATAAGATTCCTCCTCCTCCTCCCTCTATCACCACTACTACTAAGACTACTACTATTACTATTATCATCATTATTATTA